ACAGCCCACATAGTATCACCCGCTCCGCAGGGCCAAGTTGTGCCTAACTTTGGCATTTGTTTTTTCCTTTTCCTGTGTGTTTTTTCCATAGAGGCTCCCATGCAAAACGATTGCAGCGAAGAACTGAATTTGCCAATGAGCTAGTCCGCATACATCTGGAATGTTGAGTAGAGAGAGGCCCATAGTCTGAAATCACTGCAAATCAGGAGGTGAACTTTGTTTTCTTTTGTGTGTAAAGCCTGCTTTCCCTTTTTTTTGCTTGGCCGCATAGACGGCAGAGGAGGAGGGAAGGTACGAGGACGACACAGCTCTAGCTGGAGGAGAGGGACACGGTGGCGAAGGAGGGGCAGAAGAATAATCCAGAGGAGGAGGGGGGATATGGGAGAGCAGGATGGAGAGGATGTGGCAGAAAATGTGGAGGAGGAGGAGGACGTGGGGGAGGAACGAAGGTGAGGAGGAGGAGCAGGTGTGTGCCATGCATGTAGCCGCAGCAGGCATCCTCCTCTTTTCCTTTACTGCCAAACAAAAGATGCAACCAAATATGATGAAGATCAATCATGGCCGGAAATACTGAGGATCGCCAGAAAAAGGACCTATCAGCTCCCGTTCTGCAACTTTCTCCTGAATCTGCCTGACCTGATCAGATCTGGCATGACTGCTACCTCCCGTAAGAGGCAACTCAAACAACAATCTCTTCTCCTTTCCCCATCCGTTTCCAAACTGAGACCCACAGCTTTATTCCCACCTTTCTCTTGACAATGTTCTAAAAACTTTATAGGACTGCATTTCCTACAATGACTTACATAACTCACACTACCTGGAAAGGCTGGAATACGAAGCAGGGTAGGAGACCTGGACCAGTTTCTTGTCCGTGGACACAAACACTGCTGCATAGGAATAGTACTTGGTGCAGATCTTCGGACCTGAATTAATGTCCGGAGCCCATAGCATGCTCCAGTAGCGGTTCTCGCTTGCGGTGGCCAGGACAGAAGTCACCTGCCCAGTCATTGATACKACGACATTAACTCCTCCTACCGTCAGAGTTGTGCTCCCCCCTGGAAGTCCTTGTAGGAAATATACATCCCCATTCGGAATAAAAGATCCAAAAGAGGCTGGGCTGAAGTAGGCTTCCACCGGAGCACGAGGACCTGCAGGGAACGCCCTGCCAGATATACATGGTTTGAGACTGAAGGTGAAGGCATACGAMATCCACGCCTCGACCTTGCACCGGTTCAAATCRAAAGAGGGTACCAATCCGCAAGGCCTCTTCGCCTGCCCCCCACAGGTCTCACAGTTGCTTGTGGGAGAGAGAGGGTASTGGKTGCGGAAAGACACACCAGCCTGCTTCTCCACCCAGTCGACGAAGGTTTGAACCCGTGTGTAAATGCCAGGAAAACCTTTCACGGCACAGCTGKCACCAAAACTGGTGATACCCACGAGGATCGGACAACCCTTGGAGGACGAAGAGGCGGTAGCYGGTCCTCCACTGTCGCCTTGACAYRTGTCAACACCCCCTGCACTGCAGCCTGCGCATACCATCACATCGGGCTTGAATCTCGGGCCATATTTTCCACACCCGTTAGGCAGGTGATCTATTGTAGCTGCTAAGAGACTTTGGGGAGGTGTCTYCTTAGTATCGATATAGCCCCATCCACTGATTACCAAGTCAGATGACGGGGTCAGAGGCTTGTCGTCAACAACCAACTTGATTGGAACGACATTATCAGTGATGGCCACAGCTTYGTTCAGSTTGAACAATACCACGTCATTCACTGGATCTCCTTTCACTTCTTTGTAGCCAGGGAAACGCCACATCTTCACCACATTCAACAGCTGACCGCCAGATTCAGAGGTGGACCCGAGACGGATGGTGATGTCGGATGCAGACGCAGTCTTCCCCTCGTCAAAGAGACAATGTGCTGAAAATAGGTACAGGTGAACACACACCCACCCACCCACACCCACACACACACACACACACAC